TTTTTTATTTTTTTATTTTATTTTATTTTTTTTGACAGGCAGAGTGGACAGTGAGAGAGAGAGACAGAGAGAAAGGTCTTCCTTTGCCGTTGGTTCACCCTCCAATGGCCGCCGCGGCCGGTGCGCTGCGGCCGGAGCACCGCGCTGATCCGATGGCAGGAGCCAGGAGCCAGGTGCTTTTCCTGGTCTCCCATGGGGTGCAGGGCCCAAGCACCTGGGCCATCCTCCACTGCACTCCCTGGCCACAGCAGAGGGCTGGCCTGGAAGAGGGGCAACCGGGACAGAATCCGGCGCCCCGACCGGGACTAGAACCCGGTGTGCCGGCGCCGCTAGGCGGAGGATTAACCTAGTGAGCCGCGGAGCCGGCCCCATTTGGCTTTTTTAACTTTAAACTATGTTTTATTTTAGTTATTTGAAAGGCAGAGAAGAGTCACACATTTATAAAGAAATACAGAGATATCCCATACATTGATTCACTACCCTAAGTGCCCTCAAGAGTGGGCCAGGCTGAACCCGGGAACCCAGGATTCAATCCACATCTCCCAGGTGGCTGGCAGGAATCCAAGTACTTCAGCCGTCACGGATCCCTACCAAGTTGAGCAACAGCAGGAAGCTGGTTTGGAAGTGGAGGAGCTAGGACTGGCACAAGGCACTCTAATATGGGATACCGGTATTCCAAGCGGCATCTTAACTGCTACACCAAACGCCCACCCCCTGACTTTATAAACTAACCACTGTCCCACCAGGAACTCCACCCCTTTTATAACACAAGGCCCAGTAACACGTCACACAATTAAACTGTGTCTGTCTAAACTGAGTGTCACATTCTTTTGTTACAACAGAAAGAAAAGCTGATTTGATTATCAAAGATCTGAGTTCAGGGCCGAGTCCTTCACTTACCTGAACAAGTCCTTTAAAGTTAGGCCAACATTGTAACTTATCATTTAGGACAGGACACTTTTGAGCACAAAAGAAATGCTATTGATAGGGCCGGCGCCGCGGCTCACTAGGCTAATCCTCCGCCTAGCGGCGCCGGCACACCGGGTTCTAGTCCCGGTCGGGGCGCCGGATTCTGTCCCGGTTGCCCCTCTTCCAGGCCAGCCCTCTGCTGTGGCCAGGGAGTGCAGTGGAGGATGGCCCAGGTGCTTGGGCCCTGCACCCCATGGGAGACCAGGAAAAGCACCTGGCTCCTGGCTCCTGCCATCGGATCAGCGCGGTGCGCCAGCCGCGGTGGCCATTGGAGGGTGAACCAACGGCAAAGGAAGACCTTTCTCTCTGTCTCTCTCTCTCTCACTGTCCACTCTGCCTGTCCCCAAACAAAAAGAAAAATAATTAATAGAAATGCTATTGATAATTACACTAGGAGTCAGAGGCATAAACCATGACTTTCCCAGGCAAATCAGGAAGCAGGGTCTTCCTATCTAAGTGTCTAGTCAGCTTTCTGTTACTACAACAGAATACCTGAGAGCTAACTTCACAATGAGAAAATTCAGCTCAAAGTTTGAAGGTTCAAGGTCAAGCCTGGATGGTCCCGTTGGTTCAGTGTCTGGAGAGGGTGGCAGAGGGCCCTGGAGATGCCTGTGCAGAGGAAGCATCACATGATGAGCCAGCAAGCAGAATGGTCGGGCACAAATTCAGGATTTTATGACAATCCTCTCGAAAGGGCTACTTCTCAGACGGCATGCCTCCCTGTGACCTAAGGACCTCCCACTAGGCCTCACCTCCGAACACTGTAATTTGATTAAGTTTCCACTCTTAGTACTACTTTTGTGGTTTAAAGTCTTGCATGGGTCTGGGGGCAAAGCTGTATTCAAATTGTAGCAGCCTCTGAGCCCTTACGCCCTCACCCACGGGACAGGAAGAAGGGTGACTACACCTTCCTCCCAGGGTGGTTGTGAGACTCATGTAACAACCTGCTGTATAAAAGAGTGCTTAATAAACAAAAAGGCAGCGATACACAGAAGATACTGCTGGATACAAAACCCAACTAGTACAGTGGGGGAAAAATAGCAGGTACATTAGGTACATAAAATCAGCATCTTTGGAACAGACTCCTACTAATGCCTGAGCAGGGCTTTGTGTATCCTTTTCAATGTGACAACCCCAGAACCTGGCCCAGTGTCTGGCTATTTCCAAATGAATAAATGAATGTATGAGAAATAACATTTGGAAAAAAAATGACCTCGCTGCCTCAGTCTCCTATCACACTGATGAATTGAGTATGTCTTGCTCAGCAGGCCAACCCCCCACAGAGGCCAAGCATAGAGTGACCCTCCAATAAAATACGGGTCTTGCCTGAACAATCCTTACCACAGTACAATAACAACTCTATTCTTATCTCCTTGACATTTTTAAGGTTACCCACATTGCTTATTCTTTGACTCTTTGGGAAAAAAATGAGAACTTGAACAGAAATAGTCAAATGTCATTCAATTCAGAGTTCAGTTTCCTGCAATAATATGACCTCAGACTGGTGACATTTACAGTCCCAAGTAAGGAACATTAACATCATAGAGTGGTCATTTCCAGAAGGAACACAATGCCCAACACCGAAGGACATTTCTGCGTGAGTGAACTGCTCTCTCTCTGCAGGGTCCTCTGGCCTCGGAATTCTGAGCTGGAGCTTCCCTTTGGCCCTGGGAGAAGCCCTGGGACATCGCCTGGGCTTGGCTTCCTCTTCAGTAAAGTGCAGACAGCTTCTTATCCGCTCAGGTTATCTCATGGACTTGCAGTCAAGAGCAAATGGCCCGAGGAGCTTTGTAAAGTACATTTGCTATACAAATTAAAGGCAGGAGTGGAAGACAAGTCTAAGAGAATGTGGTCCTTGTGGCCCTTATGGTCCAACCCGGGGTTCATTTTACCCAGTCCTAGGTCAACCGCTTGCTCTATGGCTGGGAGCAACCCTTGAAGAGCCTGGGGTGAGCCCCACCACTCCTGAAGTGATGACCGGCCTTCATCCAGCCAACTCCAGTGCTGCCAACTCCCAGTTTTCCATTTGCTTCAGAGAAGAGTAGAAATTAGGAATTGAAGAGAAAGAGAAGGGCTATCAAGGGAAAATTCTTCTAAGGAGGTACCATGATTGGAATTTTAACCATATAATTTACTACTACTGAACACTAAAATTCTCAACTTTTCAATCACACTATTAAGAGTTCACATTAACATTTTTGCAATTTACCTAAACTTGGCTCAAAATACCTCCTCAAAATCTCAATAATCTGTCCTATAAAATTCTGAAATGAGGAATAGGCGTTTGGGACAGCAATTCAGACACTGTGCTATACTGGGATGTCCGGATCGAGTCCTGGCGCCTCTGCTTTCGACTCAGCTTCCTGCTCATGTGCATCCTGCGAGGCAGGAGATGAGGTTCAGGTTCTTCGGTCCCTGCCACCTACATCGGAAATCCTGATTGAGTCTTGGGCTCCTGACTTTGGCCTGGTCCAGTCCTGGCTGTTCTGGGCATTTGGGAGAGTGAACCAGTAAACAGAAGATATTTTTCTGTCTCTCTACTTTTCTAATAAAATAAAATAAATAAAATTTTAAAAAAATGTGAAATGGCTGCGTTAGTTCATGGACTAATAAACTCTGACCGGCAGGCCAAATCTGGATGCTTTGGTAAACAGTGTTACTGGGACACTGCCACCCTGATTTGTCTACATATTATCTACGGCTGAGTCACGCTACAAAGGCAGAGTTTAGCAGTTTAGAACAGAGCAGAGTTCAGAAAGCCTAAGAATTTGCTCCCTGGACTGCTTTAGAAAGTCCGAAAACCTCTAAAAGAATACAGTCGAAGCCTGTTAAACAAACCACTTTTTCTTCACAACTGGCAAAATCTTCCCTTTTTACAAAGAAATCCAAACAATTCTTACAGAATCAGCATTTCTGTGAGCTAAGCAAGCCAAAAAAAAGTATTTTCAGATTTATCATCAATGGGAAAAGCGTATTTTCCCACACACCCATAAATCTACTCTGAACGAATTTTATAGACTTCTCAAAAAAGCACCAACCTAAAGCTGAATCAACAAACAGACCACCCACGGTCCCCAAGTAATCTTCTCAGAGTAGAATTAGCTGTAAAACTAGGGCCTACACAACGCCTTTACATGGGCTGTATCCTTCAAGCAAATATAAAATTCAAACCACTGAGAAAACACAATTTCTGGTCATGTTTGAAGTGTATAATCTTCCTTTGTAAGAAACACGGAGCTTTTGAAACTTTTAAATGGACTTACAACACTAAGCTAAACATACGCGGACACATGAGAAATAGAGGTGAAACCAAACACGGCATCTGTGGTCTAGGAGGACAGCGAGGTCCCTGACCGAGGTGGGGGGCACAGCCTGGACACTGTCGGGGTGCATCGTTTCCTCGAGTCTCGACGTGCTGGAAACATGCGTGCACGGGGGGTGAACACGAGCTCGGCCAGCGGGCTCTCACGTGTGCATGGGGGGCGAACACGAGCTCGGCCAGCGGGCTCTCACGTGTGCATGGGGGGCGAACACGAGCTCGGCCAGCGGGCTCTCACGTGTGCATGGGGGGCGAACACGAGCTCGGCCAGCGGGCTCTCACGCGTTAGAGCTGTCTCCCTGAGGATCTAAGCAGCTCTTCTCGAGGAGGGATGAGAACAAGCACCTGGAGCCATGGTGTCCAGGTGGGAAAAAAGACAGAAGGGACAGGGAAGCCATTCATGAAACACAGACGCAGCTCCGACCCCGAAACCCAAGCCTCGACCTCGGACCTGCGGGGCCGGCTCCTCGCTCGCTGCCCTACGCCTTCGTGCACTCCAGGTTCAAAGGGCAGAGTCTGAGGACGTCCCCGCCACCTTCTCACACCAGCTCCCCTGCGGTCCTGCCCAGAGGACTTTCGAACAGAACAGTGACACACTGCCCCCGACTGCCCTTCAAGGGACCACGCTCACCTCGCGCCTGACCCACACGCAGTCACAGCCATGTGGGAACTGTCCAGCCAGACACCCCCGTCATACCCCGAAGATACAGACCTCCCGGCGCACGACACTTGCAGTTCTCTCCAGGTGATCCATTTTCCTTTTAGATTTCATTAAGCTTTAACAAAAATAAAATTGGGTTATAAAGCACCACTCTCATAAATACCATGAAATTAGCTGCCCCCTGTATCACCAAAACCTAACACGACACAGCCTACAGAAAGCTCAGGGGCACACATCTACCTACAGTTTAAGGGCCTGCTAACAGCATGTATACTTAAGACACGCTGTATCTCTTTCTGGACTTTGATACCCTTCCCACAGCCATCATCAGGTCAGGCGGCCTGGAAAATCAACCTCAAACGACACAGAGGCCTTGGCGACTCACCTGGTCAGAGTGAGGTGGCGCAGGGCACTGGCTGGCAGTCTCAACGGTGCAGCCAGAGCGCTGATGGCACCGACAGAGCCTCGCCACCGTCCGGGCGTCAGCACGGCAGCACACGCCATGGTGCTTCCTCGGCAAACATAAATCTGAAATTTAAGATTTTTTTAAAAAGATTTATGTATTTATTTGAAAGTCAGAGTTACACAGAGAGAGGAGAGGCAGAGAGAGAGGTCTCCCATCTGCTGGTTCACTCCCCAGTTAGCTGTAATGGCCGGTACTGCACTGATCCGAAGCCAGGAGCCAGGAGCTTCTTCTGGGTCTCCCACACGGGTGCAGGGGCCCAAAGACTTGGGCCATCCTCTACTGCTTTCCCAGCCGGTGCAGAGAGCTGTTCGGAAGTGGTACAGCCAGGTCTCAAACCAGCGTCCATATGGGATGCTGGCACTGCAGGCGGCGGCTTTACCTGCTACACCACAGCGCTAGCCCCTAAGATTATTTTAAGACAATTTTTTTTCTAAGATAACTTTAAGAGAATTTTTTTATAGTTCTAAATTTTATTATCTCCAATTCACAAATACACACCTTTTAAAATAATAACAAGGGATGCCGGTGCCGCGGCTCACTAGGCTAATCTTCCACCTGCAGCGCCGGCACACCAGGTTCTAGTCCCGGTCAGGGTGCTGGATTCTGTCCCGGTTGCCCCTCTTCCAGGCCAGCTCTCTGCTGTGGCCCGGGAGTGCAGTGGAGGATGGCCCAAGTGCTTGGGCCCTGCACCCGCATGGGAGACCAGGATAAGTACCTGGCTCCTGCCATCGGATCAGCGCGGTGCGCTGGTCGCAGTGCAACGGCCGCAGCGGCCACTGGAGGGTGAACCAACGGCAAAGGAAGACCTTTCTCTCTCTCTCACTGTCTACCCTGCCTGTCAAAAAAAAATAATAATAAAATAAAATAATAACAAAGGGCTGTGCTGTGGTGTAGCAGGTAAACCTGCTGTCTGCAGTGCCAGCATCTCATATGCTGCTCCACTTCCAATTCAGCTCTCTGCTATGGCCTGGGAAAGCAGTAGAAGATGGCCCAAGTCCTTGGGCCCCTGCACCCACACAGGAGAACTGGGAGAAGCTCCTGGTTCCTGGCTTCGGATCAGTGCAGCTCCGGCCGTTGCGGCCATCTGGGGAGTGAACCAGTGGATGAAGACCTCTCTCTCTGTAACTCTACCTTTCAAATAAAATAAATATTAAAACACACACACACACACACACACACACACGGAGAAATCCTTGGGACGAAACCCAGTGGAACAGCAGAGACAACTGTTACTGTGTCGTAAGGTCTGGGAATCTGGGCATGCTGCCCACAGCTTGAGGAGACATCTTCAGGTTCACGGCGAAGGGACGCCCACGAAAGGCACAATCCCCAGCTACCCCGAGCAGAATCTCTGAATTATCTCCTCCTTGGGGGAGTACAGCTTGAGAGCCTCCACTGCCCTCCCCCACACCGGTGACTCAGGCGTGGTTAGGCCAGCTGCTGGAGGGAAGCAGTTAGTGACCCTGCTAGGGAAGACACAGCCATCACCTTCCCCATCAGGTTCCGCAGGAGCACAGCTACCGCGCCAAGTCACCCCGGCAGACACGAGTGCTGCCGTACAGGAATCTCTTACGCGGAGGCAGCGGGGGAGTGGTTGAGGGCCACGGATGGACGGGAAGGAAACCCAGATGAATGCTGGCTTCCTCAGGCCTACGCCCAGGTGTGCCATCTTCTGTTGCCAAGGACAGGAGAGATGCTCCACCCGCTGGCCCACTCCATGGCACTGAACCCCCTCCCCGTCAATCCCCCTCTCTGTTTTCTTTCTCTGTAGCTCTGCCTTTCAGATGGATAATTTTTTTTTTACAGGCAGAGTGGAGTGGACAGTGAGAGAGAGAGAGAGACAGAGAGAAAGGTCTTCCTTTTTGCCATTGGTTCACCCTCCAATGGCTGCCGCGGCCGGCGCACCGCGCTGATCCAAAGGCAGGAGCCAGGTACTTCTCCTGGTCTCCCATGGGGTGCAGGGCCCAAGCACTTGGGACATCCTCCACTGCACTCCCGGGCCACAGCAGAGAGCTGGCCTGGAAGAGGGGCAACCGGGACAGAATCCGGCACCCTGATGTGGACTAGAACCTGGGGTGCCAGTGCCGCTAGGCAGAGGATTAGCCTATTGAGCCATGGCGCCGGCCGGATAAATAAATCTTTAAAAAGGAAAAAAGGTAAACTGAGTTGTCCATGGTCATGGAAAACAACTAAATAAAAAAATATATTGTACAACTCATTATTTTGGACAATTATCACTAAAATAAATTGTCTTCACTGTAGGATATGCTGTTTGGTGATTATGGTGTTTGAATGTTTTACCCCTCAAGTTAACTAGAAAACAAAGAAATTTTAATTTTTAAAAGCTTTTCTTTTCAGAATTCTAAAAAATCTTGTTTCATTAACAGTAATCATGACCAAGAGTGCCACCTACTGGTAAACAGAGAGTATTTTCGTAAAACTGTTCAAAGCACCTTGCGAAGCTTTTGACAATCTTTTAAATATTGGGTACTTAAAATACCCGGAGCCAGCACTGTAGTGTAGTTGGTAAAGCCGCTGCCTTCAGTGCCAGCATATGCATCCCACATCCTGCTCCACTTCCAATCCAGCTCTCTCTTATGGCCTGGGAAAGCAGTAGAAGATGGCCCAAATCCTTGGGTCCCTGCATCTATGTGGGAGACCTGGGAGAAGCTCCTAGCTTCGGATCAGTGCAGCTCTGGCTGTTGGGGCCATTTGGGGAGTGAACCAGTGGATGGAAAACCTCTACCTCTCTCTCTCTCTCTGGGCCTCTCCTTCTCTGTTTAACTCTGACTTTTTTTTTTTTTTTTTTTTTTTTTGACAGGCAGAGTTAAGACAGTGAGAGAGAGAGAGATAGAGAAAGGTCTTCCTTCCGTTGGTTCACTCCCCTAACGGCCGCCACGGTCGGCGCTGCACCAATCTGAAACCGGGAGCTGGGTGCTTCCTCTCAGTCTCCCATGCAGCTACAGGGACCCAAGCACTTGGGCCATCCTCCACTGCCCTCCCAGGCCACAGCAGAGAGCTGGACTGGAAGAGGAGCAACCGGGACTAGTACCTGGAACCCCAACCAGGACTAGAACCCGGGGTGCCGGTGCCACAGGTGGAGGATTAGTCTAGTGAGCCACGGTGCCGGCCAACTCTGACTTTCAAATAAATGAATAAATCTTTAAAAAAGAAAAAAACCATCCATTTTTTGAAATATTCTCAATGGTTTCATATATACAGCCTAAATATTTAATCAATCATAGCAGTTCAACATATATTAATGTCTTTTTTTTTTTTTTTTGACAGGCAGAGTGGACAGTGAGAGAGAGAAACAGAGAGAAAGGTCTTTCTTTGCTGTTGGTTCACCCTCCAATGGCCGCCGTGGCCAGCGCACCGCATTGATCCGAAGGCAGGAGCCAGGTGCTTCTCCTGGTCTCCCATGGGGTGCAGGGCCCAAGTAGTTGGGCCATCCTCCACTGTACTCCCTGGCCACAGCAGAGAGCTGGCCTGGAAGAGGGGCAACCGGGACAGAATCCGGTGCCTTGACCGGGACTAGAACCCGGTGTGCCGGCGCCGCAAGGCGCAGGATTAGCCTATTGAGCCGCGGCGCCGGCCAACATATATTAATTTCTAAAACCATATGGAAATAGCCCACCAATATTTATAACCTCGTAGACATTATCTTAGCAAAAAAAAAATGTCTTAATTCTATTTCTGAAACAAGGAAAATTACCATAGGTCCAGCATTGTGGCTCAGTGAGCTAGGCTGCCTACTGAATGCCAGTTCGAACCCTGGCTGCTCCACTTCCAATCCAGCTCCCAGCTGATGTGCCTGGGAAGGCAGTGGAGGATGGCTCAGGTGCTTAGGCCCCTGCTTCCCACATGTGAGACCTCAATGGAGCTCTTGGCTCCCCCAAGCAGATGGAAAATCTCTCATTGAAAAAAAAAAAAAAGAAAGAAAGAAAATATTAGAAATCCTAAATCAAAGCAATATCTGTTAAATAAGTAGTAAAACACATTACTCCAAGCAACAGGCTAACTCTAGTGCCTAAGATCAGTTACGCTGCTTTCAGTTCCACGAGTACATTCGGTTCATTCCGCACTGCTAGAGGCGCCGGGCACGTTAGGCCTGGGGCACAGGATAAAGACTCGGGGCAAGGCCCTTGCCTTCACGAAGTTTTCATTGCACTGTCGGAGACAGACGAAGGCACACAAATAACGAGACAACTACAGGTTATGGGGAGTGTGACAAAGGAAGTAGCTGGGTGGGGCAATACCAAGAGAGGCCTCTCTGAAGTGGGGCCACCTGAGCTGAGACCTGAACCACGAAGAGGCGGCCAAGCAGATGTCATGGGCAGCGGAATTAGTGGGAACAAAGGCCCAGGTAAGAAACAAGCCTGGCATGTTACAGGAAGCGGGGCCAGTGTGAGTGGAGAGCAGGCCACTCAGTCCACTCAGTCCACTCCGGTCAGAGTGGTGTGAGACGAGCTGAGCAGGGGGACGTGTGCAGGGTCACTGCCAGCCATGAACCTTACCCTAAGGGTAAAGGGAAGCAACCAAAACTTTGAGTAAATCAGGAGAGGAACGTGATGGAATTTACATATTAAACTTCTAAAAAATTTGTTTGAAAGGCAGAGATTCAGGCACAGTGAGGAGAGAGAGCAAGCGAGCTGATGATTCACTCCCCAAATACCCACAACAGCCAGGGTTGGGTCAGGCCACATCCAGGGGCCAGGAATTCAATCTTGGATCTCCCACATGGGTGGCAGGGGCCCAGGTACGTGAGCCATCACCTGCTGCTTCCCACAGTGTGAATTAGCAGGAAGCTGGAATGGAGAGCAGAGCTGGCACTGGAAGCCGGGCATTCAGGTACGGGATGCAGTCGTCCGAACTGACATTTCAACAACCACACCAAACACCCAGCCCTAGCTTACATCTTGAAAGGACTGCTCAAGTTGCTGTGTGAAGAACAGATCATGAGAGGGAAGCATGGTGGAAGAAGGAAGTCTAGTTAGGAGGCTCTAGGCTAAGGTAATACTCATAGTAGGACACAGAAACTGCAGAAGTAGAATGTGGGGAG